TGTGCTAGCAAGGTTTGCACAACTTCCACTATCAATGGCTACAAGACATACTTTGCCATCTTTATCGTTCACATGGCAACTAGTATGGAATGTGTTCTCTCTTTGCTGAATGTGCTCCATTAAAAGAAGAAGAAAAAATTATTAGTGAAATAAAGAATGGAAATGTGTAAAAGGACCTTACCAAGAATGCTCTCATAAAACCTCACGTGTTCACTCCAAGGAAAAACTGTCCAGCATGTGTGTCAGCCTCCAAAATGCTTCAACATATTGATATCATCGTGTCCCATGCTCTACTGATTGGTGTGCTTCTTTATAGTGCTCCAACAAGCTGTTATTGTAACCCCCTCAGACCGATGCAGATAACCGATCCGATCTGGAGTATCACATTAGGGCCACCGGAGCGAACCACTGTAAAAATAGCAAAAAATTTAAAACTTTTCTTAAAACTTGTAAACTCATAAAATCATTTATGAGTACAAAAAAAACGTTATCAATATTCGAAATAAACCAGATTTTCAGACTTGTATATAAAACAAAATACAATTACATGCCCCATAATCACATGTATCGTACTCTGCAAACAGCACCGGAAGAACTCCCTTACTGAAGTCGATAGTTGCACTGCTACAATTCTTTTAGCCTGACAAGATGAGTAACAGAGTGAGCTTTGGAAAGCTCAATAATACAGAACTACCAGATGATGCTGATGAACGTGCAGATACAGATAAATATATATTTCCTTATTGTTTTCGAACATTTACAGATTTTTATATTAAGCAGAGATCCTACTGATATTTCAGGTGCTAACGGACAATGAGCTTTCAGTTCAGATAAATATTTCGGATGACTGAGTTCAGGAGATCATAATATGTTATCTAGTGTGTTCCCAAAAATCATGTAACTTTTCAGATCTTTTTAAAACATATATATATATACCCTCATTCCAACACAACATAATGTGTAGGTTCCCCAGAACCATACACCCAACCCACACAACTTGTAAGGCCCTGAGCACAAAGTCGAGGAACCTGCGAAAATACTTCCTTCAACAATACCCTCCAATTAAAACATTTTTCTGTCATTAAACGGAGATATCAGAAATCAAAACATAATTCAGAACAAAATCCAGATATAAAATCAGAACAGAATTCAGGTCATGTATAATAACAGAATTCAAGTCAGAAATTAGATAAAATATTTATATGATTAGGGAACACACCAGAGTTTACATATATTATTCAGAGGTACTGGATAATCTTAGCAGGCAGAGAAACACGGATTTTCAATATACCGATAAAATACAGGAAGTTAGAAATATTATTGGAAAAGTTCATTAACTGATGGAATCATCAGTTATTTAGAATGTGAATTATCGGGATCATATTTTATTCGGACAGTTTTCAGAAGTTGTATGTAATCAGAAGGGTATTCAGAATCCTTTACATCCATGTCAATTGATCGGATAATCGAACAACTTGAGAACGAAAATTCAGAACCTTAATAATCTATGTCGACTGATCAATTCATTTTCCTTCCAGGGTATTTACTCTTTAATACCACAAATTCTTGTTCATAGATCATCTTTAGAATCATCGCTGAATAGATCTTTCAATGGTGTTTATTTCATTTCCAAGCTTCCATGATATCATGAAATACTGACATGCTTGATTTGTAGTTCATGTTCCATAATTACAGTACATCTTATAAACTCATCAGAATTTTCCAAACTTATCCAATTCACTTACTTAATCCTCAGTCATTGAGGTTACTTAGCTTATTTAGCAGTCAAGTCCATTTTAGTTACTTTGGGGTTTTCCAGAGTAATTCATACGTTTTTGAATTTCCGATACGTATTGTACTTACGTTCAATTCAATGTGATCTTCGTGGTCGATTCGTCTAACAAACGTCCAATTCTTAGTACTGAATGCGATCTAGAGTTGAGCTGAGCTGAATACTTACAAATTTATCGAGCTAAACTTGAGTAGACAAACACACATTCAAGTAATATATATGCCGTACAGGTACTGACATATCATTAAGGTTGATCGGTTTACTTAAGTTGTGTTCCATAACTTTTTAAAGGAAGTCTAATACCTATGCTTACTTGGATTCCCTAATTAATCCAAGGCATTTACTTAGAATATGACACAAGGGTATTTTGTAATTTTGGTGTTAGTTTTATTCAATTTATTTCATAGCTTGAAGATATCCAATCATTCCTGAACTTGGTGATATTCTTGAGCCATTTTCATTACAGGGGTATTTTGGTTATTTTACAGATTCAGTGTATTTTAATCCTTTTTCTTCCGTCCGATCTTACTATTAAATTCAATCTTATCGTTTATTTCAGTCATTTCGAGCAATTCTGACAGCATAATACCCCTGATAAATTATTCTTCCGTTATTAACTCATTACTCGAACATTTTTTGGTCAAGTGCCTTCTCAAATTTTACAAACGGAATATCATGAATTTTTCTGTACAAAGACAGGATCTTAACAATTAAATTCGTATTTAATCGAGTTAAGTACAAATTCTCAAAGTATTTTCTCATTCAGGGTCAACTCAGACTATTTAACCTCTCAAGGGCATTTTCATAATTTCTTAACCAGATAATTTCGATATTAGCTCTTAACGAAAATAATTATAATTTAAAGATTCTATGGTTAATTGATTTCCCGAATATTCTCTGATCTTGAAATGATTCCTTAACAGACTTCTAGCATCTTGCTCAAACCAGGCTGTTTTGTACCATATTATATCATGCTATTTGACCTACATGTGCAAAGAAGATGATAAACAAGTAATTAAATGAAATGTGCTTGAATGAATGCATTATAATATAATGAGCTACCATGCATGTGTGCATCAACTAAAATGAATGTATTATAATAGTGAACTGTTGTGCATGTGTGCACCAACTAAAATGAATGTCATGTGTGAATTACAATAAATGATAACATGATGTTTGAATGTGAATGCACGTGAATGACGGAATGAATGCACATGAATGATAATTTATATTAGATGAAAAACACATACTGAATGAATGCAAATATGCTACCTAAACATTTTGTTATGTGAATGTGAGTGCAAAACGTTTTTAACAATGGGCATGATGAATGAATGAAAACATGAAACATAATGATATGCAAATGAACTATATGAATAATATGTATGCTATTATTGAAATATGCTTATATGAATGCATAACATGAACAACACGGTGAACATCTTAAATACTAAGATAAATGTAATGAGTAACATGAATGTATACTATGATGAATGTGATGCAAAGCTATCTTAAGATGTTGAACATATTTAAACAACAATGTGTATGATGGAATGATAAGTATGCTATCATTATATGAATACATGCTAATTAGTAATGCAAGACTATTCTAATATGCAAGAATGAATACATGCTTAATATGTATGCAAACTAGTATGAGATAATAACATGCTTGAAATGAGTTGATGAACTAATTAAAAAACATGTTGTAATGATATGCATAGCTATTCTAACATGACATCTAATGCATAAATAAGTAAATATAATAATATAAAGTAAGGAAGAACTCCTTTAGATTGATCCTGATAGAACGTCCATGAAGTGCTCACGTTATGGAGAAAGTCGGTGCTAAACAGAATCACATCAAAGCTTCTTTACCTATTGGTATTGGGGCTGTAAATGAGACGACACATATCACGATCTATTCGAGATCGATTGGATCAAAGCTCGATAAATACTCGACTCGAGTTCTTAACGAGCCGAAAAGAGCTACTTGATATTCGACTCGAAAAGCTCGTGAGCATTCGAGTCGAGCTCCATTTCAGAGTTTCGAGTCGAGCTTAGTAATACTCGAGCTCGACCCGGCTCGTTTACACCCCTAGTTGGTATGTTATAGAGACTAGAGGTGAATTGGCCACATAATTTTTAGAAAATCATAGTCCCTCAAATTTTATTTTAAAAAGAATGACCCTCTAAAAATCTTTAAAAATTCTCATTAAGTTTTAAAACTTTTAAATATTTTTAATTAAATCCCTTCCCTTAATTTTCAAAAGTTCTTATTAAGTCTCTTATTCATGCATTTACCAATATTCACATATTCCATAAAGCATAAAGAGGTAGTAAAGTATTACCTTGATTTCCGTGCAATATTGATCGACCATTAAATTCCATTCGAACGCCCTCGATCTTGAAATCATCTTCTAATATTTCCTCGGATCCATATCAACAGAAATTACATAAAAACGGAGCTTAATTCTGAAAAATGGATCGAATCGGATGATAAATCAGTCAAAAACAGCTTACCGGGTTCAAATTTGGTGAAACAGACTTCGGATTCGGATTCAGGACGTCGAAAGAAAAAATTATGACTTTTCAAAAATTTGGAATTTTCGGTCAAAATCAAAGTCAACGGGTTTGACTGGCAATTTCGAGGCCTTCGGGTTTGAATTTCGAAAAATGGACTGTGGAATCAGATTTGGAACGTCGAAAAATGTCAGGATAGGTATACTCGGTCAAAGTCAAAGGTCGTTTAATGCCCGGTCAAAGCCGGTCAAAGTTTTGGTCAACATTGGTCAACGGGTCGGGTCGGGTAAATGGGTCGGGTCAGGTCGGGTTGGAACCGGTCAAACCGGTCATTTGGACTATCCCCACGCGATGTTGCGGTGCGTGGGACCTCTTCCGGTGTCCTATAAATCACGTAAAAAATTTAAAATTATTTTGAGCGATTTCGAGATACTTACAAAACTCGGATCAAATTTTTCAACAGCAGAGAGCTCGATTTCAACAAATCGAAAACTTTAACCGCTTCACCTCCTCACGCGTCGCCGTTTACGGAGACCAAGAATGACACCGGCGAACTCGGAACGGCACAAGGAACACGATGGTGCGGGAGATGTCGTAAACGGATGACTGGATCGTCGTGAATCAACGAAAAACCAACTGAAATCGAGTTATTACTGATGATACTTCCGACTAAAATTAACTACGAATGGCGACGATTCATGACGAAAGGTTTGAGGGGTTTTGTTCCTCGGTCGATAACGAACACGGTGGTGGTTTTGGTTCATCGATCAGACGTCAGACGGTGAGTAGATCGGAGTCGAAATGAGGGTTGAGAGTGAAGAGAAAAATTGGAAATCTGCAGAAAAACATACGGAAATGGGTGTTATAATTCAACCCAAAAGAAAAATGGTCAAATCATGAATCTAGCTACTGAATTTCCTGCACTTCTTAAAACGGTCTGCCAACTTTGAAATCTTATAATTTAATCCACCGTTTCTTTCAAAATACCAATTAAATCCACCAATTTATAATTTCTTAAATTTAGCCCTTAAATTGGGGTGTTACAGTTATCAAGTGTTCCATGCTGTTTGACGTGTAACCAAGCTGTTTTGTACCATATTATATCATGCTATTTGACCTACATGTGCAAAGAAGATGATAAACAAGTAATTAAATGAAATGTGCTTGAATGAATGCATTATAATATAATGAGCTACCATGCATGTGTGCATCAACTAAAATGAATGTATTATAATAGTGAATTGTTGTGCATGTGTGCACCAACTAAAATGAATGCCATGTGTGAATTAAAATAAATGATAACATGATGTTTGAATGTGAATGCACGTGAATGACGAAATGAATGCACATGAATGATAATTTATATTAGATGAAAAACACATGCTGAATGAATGCAAATATGCTACCTAAACATTTTGTTATGCGAATGTGAGTGCAAAACGTTTTTAACAATGGACATGATGAATGAATGAAAACATGAAACATAATGATATGCAAATGAACTATATGAATAATATGTATGCTATTATTGAAATATGCTTATATGAATGCATAACATGAACAACACGTGAACATCTTAAATACTAAGATAAATGTAATGAGTAACATGAATGTATACTATGATGAATGTGATGCAAAGCTATCTTAATATGTTGAACATATTTAAACAACAATGTGTATGATGGAATGATAAGTATGCTATCATTATATGAATACATGCTAATTAGTAATGCAAGACTATTCTAATATGCAAGAATGAATACATGCTTAATATGTATGCAAACTAGTATGAGATAATAACATGCTTGAAATGAGTTGATGAACTAATTAAAAACATGTTGTAATGATATGCATAGCTATTCTAACATGACATCTAATGCATAAATAAGTAAATATAATATAAAGTAAGGAAGAACTCCTTTAGATTGATCCTGATAGAACGTCCATGAAGTGCTCACGTTATGGAGAAAGTCGGTGCTAAACAGAATCACATCAAAGCTTCTTTACCTATTGGTATTGGGGCTGTAAATGAGACGACACATATCACGATCTATTCGAGATCGATTGGATCAAAGCTCGATAAATACTCGACTCGAGTTCTTAACGAGCCGAAAAGAGCTACTTGATATTCGACTCGAAAAGCTCGTGAGCATTCGAGTCGAGCTCCATTTCAGAGTTTCGAGTCGAGCTTAGTAATACTCGAGCTCGACCCGGCTCGTTTACACCCCTAGTTGGTATGTTATAGAGACTAGAGGTGAATTGGCCACATAATTTTTAGAAAATCATAGTCCCTCAAATTTTATTTTAAAAAGAATGACCCTCTAAAAATCTTTAAAAATTCTCATTAAGTTTTAAAACTTTTAAATATTTTTAATTAAATCCCTTCCCTTAATTTTCAAAAGTTCTTATTAAGTCTCTTAAGATTATTAAAAAATTTAATCAAATCCTATTTTTCTTGAAAAATGTAAATTATGCCCTTCAAAATGTTAATTTAAGCCTCTATTTTTAAAAGAAAATGTTCATAAACACTTTTATCAAATTCTATCCCCGTGTCCAAACTCTCAAGATTTAAATCTCCGACCTTGCTTGAAAGAGTTAACATCTTAATAGAAATACGTAAATTTATTAAGAATCGTATATATATATATATATCAGTGTCCTTTTGTATTTATGTGGATCAACAAATTATTTACAATTTCAAAAATTAATGAGGAGAGAGATATTTACAACTCATTTTATAACCAAGTCAAACCAACTACAAGAGACCTCCATATACAGATTTCCATTTTGTTATGTAAATGCTGTTTAGTTTACTTTTAAAATCTAAATCTAAATCTCCAAAACCCTAATTCCCAAACGACGTCTTGATGTTTTCGTTTGCGGAATTGTAATTTCAGGTGGAAGGGCCAGCAGTGTCTAAGGACTTCTCTGTGAGTATTTGAAGATGGACACAAGTGTATAGCTCAAGAATAATATATATAAAAATATTTTATTATCAAATTGTCGAGACTCTTTCGAACAATATTATCTTATAAGATTAATAAAAAAAATAACTTTAATTAGACTCTACTTTATGATTAAAAGAAAAAGGGTTGGTCTTCAATAAATTATATTAAAAAAATTAAGATAAAAATATAAATTTTAAAATTAAATTATAAAAAAGTAAGAAATAAAGGTAATACTTAATCAAATTAGGCTCAATACCAAAATAAGTATGCAAATTATACTTTAATTTTCGAATATGTACTTAAACTATTTTTTGACTTATCCAGGTGGCTAATGTTACAAACATTACCATTTTAGGTGCCCATGACAATGTTAATTTCCTCGTTAAATAACATGTGTCAATATCTGGTATTTTAAAATTTATTTTTTAAAATATTGTTATATATTTATAAAAAATCCTAATTTCTCTTAAATTATTAAAAAGTCACAAAAAACCTAAAATTCCCAAATCTTATTCTTAACCCCCGCCGCCCTTTCCGGTCTCGACTACAATTGCCGACGTAGTCCTTGTCATCCTCTAGTTATTTACCGTTGTAGTTGTCGCGATTGGCCGTTGAGATTGCATGGGTTCGCAATTTTCATTATAGGGTTCGCGGTGTATAAAACATTGATTCGACGTCAGTCAATCGTCAATTGGTCATGATTTCATGAGAGTTTTGGTCGCCGGTAGGGGTGGGCAAAAAAATCCGATCCGACCGATCCGATCCGTTAATCTGTTGATCCGATCCAAAAATTCGGATATCCGATCCGTTTTTCAATTTTCGGATAGTTCGGATCGGGTATTCGAAATTTTTTTCAGATTTTCGGATCGGATACGGATCGGTCAAAATCCTATTTTAGATTATCCGAAAATCCGAAATTTTATTGGGCTATATTATTAGCCCAGAGATGTTTGGGCTATATCTGTCTCATCTTTCTCTAACCCTTAAAACCTTTAGTCCTCAAATACTAATACCCTTAAATCTCAAAACTTTTTCCTCACAAAACAAATCCTACATCTAGTTTCTTTATGTTCTGCAGACTTACTCCAATGATAGAATGTAAGCAACATATTTCCTCAGTAACAGAAAATCCAGAAACCATAAACCTACAGCTTTTCCACTTCTCACATCCTAAACCAAAAAATCCTTTTCTCCAAAAAAAATCTATACATTAATAAAACCCCTAATTTATTAAAACTTGAACTCAAAAGCCACAAGTCACATTTCTCGAATCTTTCCAAAGTCAGAAAAATAACAAACCAGCGTTAGCTCCTCAGTTGTAATGTACCAAGTTAAGCAAAGAATAGTACTGTGGTAGTTTGAGCATTAACCTTAGCCCAGGAATTCGGTTGTTCAAGCAAGGATATTGGCTACTCAGTCAATGAAGGATAAGGACTAATGCCATATTCGCAAAGTTGTAGTTCTAAATTAGATTATGAATTTAAATTAATAAACTTACTCGTGCTGCACCATTTTTATGAGCATGGTATGTTGGTCCATCTTCGTACTCTCCATACCAATTGTATGTACTGGATCTTTCATCGTATAACATGCCACCTCCATGAGCTTGAATAAGATTTCCATCAGTATCCAACCAAATTCTCCCTGGATAATAGGATTTCATGTTACATTTTTGAAGTGGAGCTATTTAATTTCATGGTTTACACAGAATGTTTCAACTCTTTTTTTTCAAGTTGATTGCAATTGTCTTCTATTGTTGTCTTAAGAGTGAAGTGGAGCAATAATTTTATGCTTATTGAATGGGCTATTTTAGTATAAGATTGTGAATAACAATGGGATAATTTACGCGTTTAGTATATAAATTATCAATTTTAGTACTTAAACTTTTAATTTTATGTTGATTAATGTTTTTATTATGTTGTTTTTTTTTTGAATTTTTGCAAAAAAAAATCGGATTCGGATATCCGATCCGAAAATGCGGATATCCGAAATTCCGGATCGGATACGAATCATTACTTTAGGTATCCGAAATTTTCGGGTATCCGAAATTTTCGGATATCTAAAAATTCGGATCGAATAATATCCGATATCCGATAATGCACACCCCTAGTCGCCGGGAGAGGTGAAGGTTTTCAAAGTTTTGAGGTTATTTCAAAATGTTTATGTTTTTCTTTAAAAAAATATAAAATTTCAATTTTTTTAAAAATTTTTAAAATCATCAGATTATGACACATGTCACTTAACAAAAAATTAACATTGTTGATGATCCGAACACCTAAAATGTTAATCGTTTGTATGGGTTAAAAAAATAATTTAAGCACCTATTAAACAATTGAGATATAGTTTGGACATTTATTTTATTTTGGGGTAAAATAGAAAATAATCCTTGAACTTTTAAAGCACTTGCATCTTGGTCACCCAATTTTTGAAACTTATAATACAGTCATTCATTGAACTTTTAGTTCGTTTTTAATTGTCTCTGCCCACCCCCCATCATATTCTCCAGGTTAATTTTTTCTTCTTTTTCTCTTGTTTATTTCTTCTTCTTCTCCAGGTTACTTCTTCTTCTTCAAACGAGCAGGAAAGTTCTCGTGTAAGTTTGGATGAAGTCTCACTAGAAGCAACCAGATTTCAGCAGCTTCAACAAGTCATGGAGAAGGTATAGTAGATGAAAAGATTTTGTGGTGTGCATATTTGCATGTTCCTTATAGATAATGACTAATTTTGGACCTCCATTTTCGCCACTTGCATCACCACTAATTTTTGGCAATGAGATATTTAATACGAAGGTAGCTTATACGTCATTGTTGTCTGAAGAATGGTTTCTATAGATGCATGGCTAACACCAACTGAGAAAAGCAAACCCTGATTCATTTCCATCAATTCTCCAAGCTTCTCTTCATTAGCGGATAAACATAGATCATCCACGGCATGCGACTGTATGATGGTAGACCATTCATCACTGATAGCTTCGATGGCATTTAACACGGAACACATGACACCGACATTGTTGTCTCATTGTGTTTTTTTTTTCTTCTATGACACAGAGGTTATCGGCAGTCAAGTTGTTGTGAAGGTTGTGAACAACAAGCTTGCCCCTCCTTTTAAGAATGCTGAATTCGAGCTCGAGTTTGGCAAGGGAATAAGCGGGGAAGGTGAGATCATAGATTTGGCTACGAAACACAAACTCGTAACAAAGTCTGTCGCGATCTATAGCTTCAACGACAAGAAACTCCACGGCAAGGAAGCCTTTAAAAGGTATTTGGCTGAAAATGGAAGTGCTCTCGAAGAACTTGAGAGTTGTGACGAAACTTGGAGAAAAAGCTACTTGATGGTGAGAGCAAAAAGGAAAGTCATACATATCTCTCCGATGATAATACATCAGAAGCAGGATTTAAATAGCGTTCGCGATCACGTTTTCAGTCACGTCGCGTTTATCACGATTGCGGACATAACGGATGTCATTACGGGTATCGCGGTTGTTAATTTTTTTAAATGTTGCACAACTTATCCTAAAATGACTAAAATAAATATAATTAAAATAAAATCATAAATTTTAAATTAAATAAATTTAGATTACTGAAATTAAGACTAAATTAAATAAAAATTAAAGTCTATATTTTAAACTAAGGATTAAATTATAAATTATAAAAGTGAGAGAGATCTCAAATTAATATAACCTTTAAAATTATATTTTAAAAATTATTAAAAAAAAGAAATAAATCTCCCCTTCCCGACCTTTCTTCCTCCCTTCCCCGATCTTTCGAGTTTTGCCTCCCCCTTCCTCCTTCCCCCATCATTTTCTAAAAAAAAACTGCGCCACGGTTGAATAACGGTTATTGTGTCTCGTTATCGGCGCAATCATCCGTTTTTCGTTAAATTGCGGGTGCAATCGACTGAGATTGGTGTGAATTCGTGACCAATCGCAAAAATCATAAAAATCAATTTCAGACGATGGCACGATCGTAATATCACGGCCATTATCACGTTTTCGGAACGCTATTTGATACCCTATATGGGTTAAAGGTAGTTAATGCCACGTTAACAAAAACTAAAGGAGTAATCGGCAGGGAAAAAAATGAAAACGAACTAAAAATTTGATGACTGTATTGCAAGTCTCAAAAGTTGGGTGACCAAAATACAAAAACTCTAAACGTTCAAGGACTATTTTTTATATTTTACCCTTTATTTTGGTATTAAGCCATCAAATTAACCCTAAAACAAAACCCCTTCCGGCCTTGAGATTCGTTCAGTAATTTGAAGAAAACAAAAACAATTTCAGGACTCGAATGAACCTCCATTGAAGAAGACCCCATTCTACAAGAAGTATTTAAAAAATAGCGAAAGAAAATTTGCGAAATCTTTAAAAGAAAAGGGGAAAGAATTGAATGTTTGTCTCATGGCCAGTCCCAAGAGGTAATTGCAGCGACGCCGCTCCACAAGGCGATGGAATATGAGACTGCCCGTCGACGGAGGAACTCCCCGGAGGAGAGGACCGTCAACGTCAACGAGCGTTTTTCTATGGCGTTATCTTCGAGATTTACAAACACAATTTCAGTTTGCCCCGTTTTCATAGATAAGGATTTTTGAATCCTCCGCCATGTATCGATTGGATTAAAGACCAGAAACACAACAAGAAGAAGGAAGAAGAAGAAATCAAATAACTTCATACTGAATTATTAGGGATTTTTAAGACGATCCTTGAGGTTAATTTATAGCGCAATTCGCCGCCACTGAATTTGTTCTCTTCAAAAACAGGAGGGCCGTTAGGGTTAATTTGACCCGGATCAACTTTTATTTTGGGGAAAATTCTATTAGATACCACTAAACTTTAGATAGTATATTATTTATACCACTTCACTTCTAATTACTTTATTTATAATACTGAATTTTAGTTTTCGTTTCAATTATACTACTTAACCTTCTAAGTACTTTATTTATAATACCAAATTTTATTTTTCGTTTCAATTATACCACTTAACGTAAAATCGATAACAATACCACGGTTTCTTTTGCTCCAACTCTTATAGTGCCTAAAAAGACAAAAAATGTTATTTTATTGAAAAAATTATTTTTTATTAATTTAAGGTAATTTTAAGTGGTAGTATATGTTCTAAAGAATCTCAACCATTTGATAATAAACACTCAAATATCATACAATTGCTTATGCTCGAACTTAGGACCTTTAGAGATAACGATCATTTTTTTAATCACTAAGGCAATTTGATTCGTGCTATTAACAAGCTTGAAAAGAAAAAAATATCAAATTATCTATAAAAAAGACTCCAATATTGGTCCTTCAAAGGGAACCCAAACATCCTCCATTAAAACAAACCTAAGAACTTGTGATATTTTTTTTAAATGGGAGAACTTGTGATACTTTTAACAAAACTAGTATAGATTCATATATTAAATTGTAGTTAAGACTAATATCATTTATTTAATATAATTTTTTATAAGGAGATCATATTCGTTTATATTATGTAAAATTATTTAATTGTACATCTTTTTAATATGTTGAACGAGTGAAAATAGACGATTAAGATTAATAGTATAAAATGAAAATATATTCATTGAAAAAATATAAGAAAATAATTTCAACAGTTTATTTTCACTCATCCACGATAAATATGTAAAATTAAAAGTTTTATATAAATATATAAAGAAATTAATATTTTTATAAATATCATTTATAATTTATTTATAAAATAAATTTTATTTCTAGATATTATATTATGTTTAAATAAATGTGTTTATTTATAATAAAAAATAAATAAATAATTTTATTCCAACAATCCTTTGGGCATTTGCAGGTTTCTCCAATGGCATTACATCGGCCGTTTTTATCGCCACTTCCCTCTCTTCAACCTCCAAAGCCCTCCAAAACATTCAGAATAAGCTTTCCTTCTCAGACCCATCGCCCCTTTTGCTGTTCTAAACCAATTTCTCAATCGGAATCTTCTACTTCTCCTTCAACTGGAGTTTTCATCAAAGGTAAAAAAAATGGGTTGAGATTTATTTATTTTTGGGTTTTTGGATTAACAATTACATGTAGCTGACGTGGTTGTGAGTTGTCTTTGTACGTTGTTCGTCTTAGGATTGCCTCTGTCAACAGCTGAAGGACGTCTCAAGAAAGCGTTTTCAGAATTTGGGGAGGTTAAGCATGGTAAATCTTGTTGATTTATAAATGTGCTTTTTTTAATTGTTTGATATTAAAATACCCTTTTATCAGAAATTTGTTATGGAACGAACTCGAGCTCAAACCCTAGTTTTGAGTATATATTTCGTGTAAGCTGAGGTCTAATAGTTCGATTTGTTTCGACCCAAGCTTGAGCTTAGATGATAGTATTTGATCAACATTGGGTCGAGCTTCGAGCAACGACTTCGTATTAGGCTCGAGCTATAGCTTTTCACTACTCAAGTTCAGCTCGATTCAGTTACAACCCTATTCATGTCCCGGAGACATAGTATTTGGTTTTAACAATTGATTGTTGCTATGTTAGTCCAATTGTTGTATCTATTTTGACACCTATGTCCAATACATACTTGGACATGGGCAGTGGGGTACCATTCTCGTATTCGTGTTGAACACGAACCCGTATCCGACACTCGCCATTGACTCAGAGAAACAGCGGGATGTTTTGTAGAATATTTCTCATATATTTGTGTTTGAATGGATTTTTTTTTATGGAAAAGAACTAGTGGCAAAGGAATTTACTATATGAATATGAAGAGTAGCGAGGTCGGCGTGAGTATAAAACATGCAACAAAACTGGAGTACATTTCTCCCATGTTAGGTGAGAAGAATGATTGACTTCTGTCTGATTGTATATGCCCATATGGTAAAATATGTTACTAAATCTGCAAATACGAGCGCCTACAACAGAGTTACAGAAAGAGATACTATCGGTTGCCCTATCTAATTCGGCTTCACTTGTGAACACTACTTTTTCTATCTGCGGAAAGGCTTTGCATCGGAGATTATTTTTGTAAATTTAATACAAACAGTGTTAGGTGCCATTTGTTAAGCATTTATCCAAGATGTCATGAACCCCTGAATTTCCTTATATTGCTCAAGATTTAGAGCAGGACTTGTTCGGATTGTAGCTTTTTTTTTCCTAATCGTTTTATATGATTTTGCAGTCAATGTTGTGAGGGAAAAAATATCCAAGCAGTCTTTGGGATCCGCTTTTGTTTGGTTCGATAAGGAAGAGTCCGCGCAGCTAGCCGTGAACGAGATGAATGGGAAGGTATCCTATATCTGGCAATTAAAACCAACACTCATCTCCATAATTCCCTCACATCTCATAATTCATCACTTCCAAACTGTTTAGTTTTTTGATGGCAGGTTCGTTTTAGTTAAAATCGCGATACCCGGATTGTCCAAAAATCGGGGGAGAACAACACCATACAAGTTCTAATTTCCCAGAAACGTTTGAAGCCTATACGATAGTAGAATGGATTTCATTTATCGGCAGGTACGCTATACTATCGACAAGTAAAAACTAAATCGAGTTCTTGGGGGTGGTATTCTGCTGTCTTTACCATAATGAACATTTGTTACTACTGTTGTATGATCTTCATAGAATGAAAGTTTGAAATGAACAGATTAAACAAATACAAATAGATTAGGGTATGCTCGATTTATTTCGAGTTTTAGGATTCGAGTATTGTAAACGGAAAAAGAATCCGGGTAACGTGACCCGAAAGCAATGAGAGTTAAAATGTTAGTTTATTTTTATCGTCAGTCTATATCTTCTCGGCATGGAAACATAAAACACATTATGAATTTTGTGTGGCTTCAATGGTAGCTCCAATCGTTAGGCTACAATGTCAGTATGCCAAATACTCATCACATAAAGAACCTTTCTATTGTTAATTTGAATTTAATTAACTTAATTTATATAATTATTCTAAAATATAATAGTTAATGTTTTACGTTTAAATCTTAATATTTTTATATTCTTTCTTTCAAAAATGTATTTCGTATAGTTAATGTTATAATTAATATATATATTTTTTATAAGAATAGTGACGAATAAAAAAATGGTCACTAACAATTCTAAATTTGTTACTTCTAATGACCAATTTTAATGTGATTGAAAATGTATTTTTCTAGGGTAAACTATATCAGGTACCATTGAACTTTAGAAGTTGTATCGTTTGTACTACTAAACTTTCAATTTTCTCAATTATAACATTAAACTTTGATTTTTGTTTCAATTATACTACTGAATCGTTAAATCGTTAATGGCATTATGACGTGGCTAACGGCTGATGATGTGGTTGATGAATGTCGACACCTCACCAAAATGACGTCATTTTGATTTGGCTGTTAACGATTTAACAATCCAGTTGTATAATTGAAACACCAAAATTTAGTGCTGTAATTGGTAAAACTGAAAGTTCAGTGGCATAAATAATGCGGCTCCTAAAGTTCAGTGGTATCTCATGTGGTGCACCCTTTTTTATTATTAATATAGGGTGCTTACAAGTAATAGTATATGTTATAAGGATTTAACTATTTCACAATAAACGCTTAAATATTCTACAGCTGCTTGTGTTCGAATTTGGATCCTCTACGAATAACAATCATTTTTTTAATCACTGAAGTCACTTGATTCGCGTTATGACCAACCAGGGACACCATATCATCTGGTGGAGCCGGAAAATGATTTTCTTCAACAAGACACCCCTTTACCTTACCAGTAAGTTCATCGGCCACTAAGATCGCCTCTCTTCTTATCAACGAAATCCTCAATTACCAACACCTGGCGATTTAGTCTTTAAATTAATCTTTATAACTAACCACTTGGTTAATTCCAATGGAATTCCTCAACTACCAATGACAATTGAACCATAGTTATTTCATCTAAATTTTAAACATATGAATAGTTGACAATTTAGTCTTTAAATTACTTATTTTTTTTACAAATTGGTCGCTATAAATCTCGTAACACCTCAAAACCCTCAATATCTTATCTACTAATCATTCTCGGGCCTATTTGCAAAAGGAAAAGAATTTGACTTCATTTGGGACAAATTACAATTTTAACCTTCATACTTTAAAAATTCTTACAATTTAATCCCTTATAAACCTTTTGACCTTTCTTTAACAAATACAAAATATCATACTCCAATTATTCTAATATTATTGGCTTAAATAATACTAGACTCTATTTCTGGTAATAGAATAACTCTTTAATATTATCCGTTTAAGATGCCAATTGATGATATGACTGGTCACGTAAATGATGGTCAAAATCAGAGCTGACACCTACGTGACTAAAAACTGAATAAAAATATCAAGTCAACACAGAGTTAGATATATATATAACGGTTGAGTGATGAAAAATTCAATCTCTAAACTTCAATGACCAAATTAGGAATGAAACCAAAGTTGAATGATGAGATATGTAGTTTACCCTATTGTTTTTTTATTGCAATGAATAATTTGCTGCTATAAAAACTAGCTCATCGGAAGGCGAAAATGTGTAAAAGACGGAGCAAACAATCTAAAATGGTGTCAGAATTGTTATGGTCTTGCTGCAATTCTTGGTTTCTTGAGGAAAATAAACGAATGGTGCTATGTTAATAGTTGGTCGGGGAAGAAGCAAAACCCTCGATATGGGGTGGCCGTTCATCGGCAACATGTGGTCTTTCCTCCGAGCTTTCAAGTCCCAAGACCCCGATTCTTTCATCCACAACTTGATTTACAAGTGTGGACCGACCAGCATTTACAAAACACATCTGTTCGGGAGTCCGAGCGTCATAGTTTGCAGCACGGAGCTTTGCCGGAAGTGTTGACGGAAGACAAACACTTCTCGTTAGGCTACCATTCGGCGGCGATACGATTAGGTGGGAAGAAATCGTTGTATGGGGTTCCGAATTCGGAGCACTTGCGTCTGCGTAGGCTGATATCGGATCCCATCAATGGCCACCGTGCACTAGCTTTGTACGTAGGCCATATTGAAGACATTGTGATCCCTTCATTGGAAGAGCTTGCTCCCATGAACCGACCGATCAAGTTCTTCACCCAGATGAAGAGGATCGGTCTCAAGGTCACTGCACAAGTTTTCCTCGGTTCCATTAAGGATTCGAATCTTTCGTCGATGGTGAGATATTACACGGAGTTGTTCCCCGGTGTTGACATTCCATCGAGCACTCAAGGTAAAGTTCGTTGACGTTATCGATTTATTACATTCATGTCATGTCCGGTTAACCGAACTCGATAAGTCATCAATCGTTAATGTTATTAGGCCAGAAAAAAGCTGGTAAAGATGATCGAAGACGAGGTGCATGAAAGAAGAATGATGACTTCATCCCCTGCAGGCAGGAACAAAGGAATGATCGATTTGCTCATGGAAGTCGAAAACGAGGCCGGCGAAAAACTGGAGGATGAGCACATCGTCGACTTGTTGCTGCTCATCTCGTTCGCGGGTCACGAAACCACGGCACACACCGTAATGTGGGCACTCATCCACCTCAATCACCATCAACAAATGTTGCAGAAAGCTAAGGTGAGACGTACTTGTCCGATATGTGATCAGTTTTGTACTCTAATCAAGAAAAGCCAAATAATATATTAGAATTTTTTTAGCAATTTAAGTGTTATCATATTTTCAATTGACCTAAAATTATGTCCTTACTTGTCTATTTCTATGATTAACTATAATATATAATATATAAAAATATTTTAATTGATTGCTAAATATTAGATTTAGCCTATTGGTTAAGGCTTTGCTTAGTTACTAACTGATTTTGGGTTCAAATGAAACTAAGTTATTTTAGTTTTATTTTTTGCCTAAACTTGAAAAAGTTATATAATCTTGATAACAAGTGTGAGAATTGTCTCAACAATTAATTATAAAATCTATGAATTTAATCTATAAATTTAATACATGACTATAATAAAATATTTTTAAAGCTAATGCTCAAATTAAAGCATTAGACAAATTAAAAACAGAACCAGGATCAAATTGCATTAAATGAAAATCCAAGGAAACAAATCATATACATTACACAAGTAATGACCAAAAATAGAAGAAAACAGAGCAGGGTTCTAGGCTTCCGGCCGCCGCCAATATGTAATTTTATAAGGACTTGTGCCCTAATTATACTAATTTTGTTAACTGCAATGTAGACACTTCCGTTAAGTGTTAATGTCAGGTGGCTATATTAAAACTATTTAAATAATTTAGTGGTCATATTAATGTAAATTTAAAAATGATAGTCATTTCACAACCCAACCCATAGTTATATGGTCATTTATGTAGTTTACCCTTAAAAAAAGAAAGAAAAGAAAAGTTCTCTTTACATGCCGCAAAATCACTCCATACTCTTCTGCCACGTGTCTAATAATAATTTGATCCCGATATTCTTCCGAGTATCGAAACTGACCTAGTAAAACCTTGCCGTACCGCCACGTGTCCCATCGAATCCCGTCCCATTTTCGGTTCGATATATATATATATATATATACAAAAACGAAAAAAATATTAAAAAAAAGTCTTTTTTTTCATTTGTTTCTCCCTTTATCTGCCTTGGATTTCCCCGTGATTGAAACACAGATCCACGATGCATCCGTTAAATTCGGTGTTGGTGGCGAGGATGCTGTCGAACATGGCGGCGGCGGCTTCATCCGTCGACGGATTGGAATCCATCGGAGGAGTGGTGCCGTTCGGGACTCTATGGTGGTTCATATACGCCGGCTGCTCTTGCTTCTTCGTCCTCTTCGCCGGGATGATGTCGGGCCTTACTCTCGGACTCATGTCCCTTGGTCTCGTCGAACTCGAGATTCTTCAACGCAGCGGCACTCCCACTGAGAAAAAGCAAGCTGGTACAAAGGCACTATACTTTTTCTTATCAAATTCATTCGTAAACTATACCAAATTCTCGATTTTGTACATTTAATTTAAAAAAATTTTGATTTCATACGCGACGACAGATTCACCCAGTTCCTACCCTACTATCATGACACGTGTCATTTTGATCGACTAATTTTTCCCACATGTCAGCGGTCGTAGGATTCCTCGTCATCTTCCGTGACGGAAGTAGTCGAATCTGTTAACGGTAGAAACGTCATGTATGAAATTGATAATTTTTAAACTAAATGTATGATATCTATAATTTAGTATAGTTCATGTATGAATGCATATTTAACCCTTCTTATTATTTGTACAATGGAAATGATGCTAAGAAAACCTTTAGTTTTGTTCATTCTTCATTATTATATTGTATTTGAGATATTTTTTTTGTCGATGTTTTTAGCTGCTATTTTGCCTGTGGTTCAAAAACAACATCAGCTTTTGGTGACCTTGCTTCTTTGCAATGCTGTTGCTATGGAAGTAAGCATTGATTTAGTTATTATTTTTTGTTCAATTTCGAGTTGAATTAACACGTATTTGTTTATACCATTGGACAAATTGTGGTTTCGGTCCCTGTTCAACTCTCAAAAATTTTAGATTAGTCCTGTGCTTTAGTTTGGCATAATTTGATATCGCAGTAGTTACAGTCAAAATAGTTAACATGCTAACTGTTTGGTTTAAGATTTTTAAAGAATATATTTCTTAAAAATTATCATGCCAGCATGACTCTCAGTTTCTTTTGGAATTAGTGTTTCTTGAAATAAATTTTCATAGGCATTTTAACTGGAATAGTTAATGGTGTTAACTATTTGGACTAAGTAATTATAAAAGCGAAAGACCTAGTCAAATTAAAGTGTAAGAACTAAATCCAAAATTTGAGCACAATAGGGACCAAAACCATAATTTAGAACAAAAAGGATAGATACAGAGTATTTGATTAAATAAGGTTTCTATATGAAGAATTGCGATTTGGTTTGCTAAAACAGCATTTATCATAAACTGAAATTTTCTGTTGAAAAGTCATGTTTGAGTTAAAATGTCCCATTTCATGCAAATTGGCCAGAGCTTTGCATTTGGCATGAGCACCAAGCCGGCCACCACCATTATGGTAATGGGGTTGGTTTAGCATAAGGTTGCTATGAATTGGTAGTTGGTTCTTTTTCTAGGCAATTAACATTTCATATAATATAAAGCTTTTCACTAAGAATGCTCAAGTGAAGATTGAATTTCATAGACTGCTTTGACGTTTCCAATTTGCAGGCCCTTCCCATATATCTGGATAAGATTTTCAATGAGTATCTTGCTATCATACTTTCTGTGACTTTTGTTCTACTTTTTGGTGAGGTAGGCTGTTCAAGAAACTTTGTAGGGCATTAGTTTCACTTCTTCCTTTGAATCCTTGACAAGACCTTCCCTTTTACTTTTAAGGTTATACCACAAGCAGTTTGCACAAGATATGGGCTTGCTATTGGTGCAAATTTATCAGGAGTGGTGCGGCTCTTAATGTTAATTTGCTATCCAATAGCTTATCCCGTTGGAAAGGTATATGATTTACATCATTAAACTCCTATACTGTAAAAAGTTCATTGTAAAGGCCATAACATTTAGCTCAAGTATTAGGTAGTTTCCTTAGAAAGGATGGGCATAGAAACACAATTCAAGTACGAAACATATGAATGCAGATAGTTTTAACAGGCTGTTTGAATTGATGAAGCTCTGAAGGTATATATGTTCTCCAGATTCTGGATTGGATGCTGGGGCATAATGATGCACTATTTAGGCGGGCTCAACTAAAAGCTCTTGTCTCCATCCACAGCCAGGAGGTAAGTCAATTTGATGTTGCTGCAGGTTTCATCATATAGTAATTCTTTGGCACTATTTGCGGTCTCAACTAAAATTTCCATTACATCCCATGTCTCGTCTTCGTATCATGATGTAGATTCTGTATTCACATAATTCTTTAGGCTGGCAAGGGAGGTGAACTCACTCATGACGAAACTACGATTATTAGTGGAGCACTAGATTTGACTGAAAAGGTACGCATCACATTGAAACTAAAGTGATTGAGAACCATTTTATAGCTTCTGATGTCAATGGTCACTTTCGTTGAAGACTTGCAATAATGGAACAGTATTAAATAACACGAGCTTTAGAATTTTCATGCTACTTTCTTTCTTGTCATCATGGCTTCACTGGAATCTTTTTTTTTAAGACAATTTCAGCATCTTAAATTATTTTGTTCTGTTTTTGATTTAATATTTGGACAGACCGCAGAGGAGGCTATGACACCTATAGAATCAACTTTCTCTTTAGATGTCAATTCAAAGTTGGACTGGTAAAGTTGCTATTCAATTCACATTTTAGTTAATATAAGAAGGATTAATCCATTAATCCTTACTTAGTGCTGAAATTTGTATTTCTTACAACTAATCCCCTGCCTTGCCTCTAACCTGTCATACGAAAAGTTATAAACATGTTAAAACTTCCTTCAACTTATCATATACTTTATCAGTGCATTGAACAATACTTATTAACTGCAGTTGCGTTTTCACTAGCATTGATAAAGATTTTGCAGCTATCAGTGACATCAAGAATATCAAAATAACTGCTGAATTGGTTCCTTCCTTTGTTTTTTTGCTGAAATCGTAGTTGACATTCTTACAAGAATTGTGTAATAAGTTTCCCATTAATTTATCTCTTACGTCAGGGAGGCAATGGGTAAGGTTCTTGCACGAGGTCATAGCCGAGTCCCTGTCTACTCGGGGAATCCAAAAAACATTATTGGACTTCTGCTGGTAGGTGTTAGACTTAAAAGTCTTTCAACGAAATCTCATCTAAAGCTTCGCCAATCTTGTTGGTTATTTTACTAACTGTTCATCTCAAATCTTGTTTGAAAATTGGAATAAGGTGAAAAGCCTTCTAACTGTACGCCCTGAAACCGAGACACCTGTCAGTGCTGTTTCCATCCGGAGAATTCCAAGGTTTCTTAGTTTTTCTTAGATAATTTTTACAATTTATCAAGTAAAAAGTGTAAAATTCACGTATGGAATGTTTCAACAGAGTTCCAGCTGATATGCCTTTGTATGACATACTGAATGAGTTTCAAAAGGGCAGCAGTCATATGGCAGCTGTTGTCAAGGTTAAAGGAAAAGTTAAGAATCCTCCTGCAACAGCTGATGGAGCAAAAGCTGAAGAAAATGGAGTCTCCAATGCAGAGCCCCAACTCACTACTCCGCTGCTACCTAAGCAGGATGAGAAGCCGGACAGCATAACTGTCGACATCGACAAGTATTCTTCAAAGGCTCCCTTGAAGATATTGACGTCAGAGGATATTGACGAAGGCGAAGTGATTGGTATTATCACCTTAGAAGATGTTTTTGAAGAACTCCTACAGGTAAATTAAAGAGTCCCCATTGTATCTCGGTTCATCTCGACCGTGTTTACTCCTAATCCAGCTGCTGATTTCTTTACAAAACACAGGAGGAGATTGTGGATGAAACAGATGAATATGTTGATGTGCATAAAAGGTATTTTTGTGCTAGAACTTCAATATTCACATGGTTATCTCCAAAAAAGAAAATGTAATAATGGATGACGCTCTATGTGCAATATGTATACATTTTGCAGAATCCGTGTTGCCGCAGCGGCTGCCGCTTCATCAGTGGCAAGGGCACCATCAATCAGGAGGCTAACTAGTTATCAAAAGGGAGCGGTAAGGAAACAATAGAAAAGCTTTTGAAACTAACTAAAATTCCATTTACACTAAACAGAAAATTCTTGTGCATCATAGGTCAACTCCCCCAGGGTTACACTAGCTGACCACAAGAGCTGAAACAAAAACATTATTTATATCTGCAATCGTGAAGGAACCGATTCCCAGAAAACCAGAGGTAAGAGTTTTGTTTTTCTTTTGGTTTCTAAGCTGCAAGGGGTGGAAAAAGGAACATTGAGTTGGTCCCTATGTCTCAATAAATTTTCTTGTGCTTAATGTGTTATCTAAATCTACGTGCATGGCACTGAAAAATCCACATTGTTGAATATTTTTGCATGCAAATTTTCAAGGTAGAAAATAACCTCTCTCTCTCTCTCTCTCTCTGTATATATATATATATATATATATATTCTGATTCCTTTACAGGAAAATTTTAAAAAATTAAAAAATGTTTTTCTTTATTTATTACTTGACAAAAAGTAAAAATTACAAAAAAATATTTTTTAATTAATTTAGGACGTTTATAAATGGTAATACATGTTTTAAAATATTTTATCTACTTGATAATAAACGTTCAAATACCCTTTAACCTTTTATACTCAACCTAAAACCTCTAAAACTAATAATTATTCCTTTAAAAAAATATTTTTTTTAAAAAAATGACAACATAAAATCTTCCTTATCAATTGCCCTTTCCATCAAGAATAATTTTAGAAGTTTGTAAAGTACCATCTAATCTATTAAATTCATATTAAGTAACATGGTTTCAAATAGCGGCCGAATAATGGTGTCGTGGTTGTTATATCGCGATTGCGGTGGTGTCCAAAATCGTTATCACGAAAAATAATGATATGAAACGGAATCACACTAATAACGACGGATCGTGGTCGTAATTTAGCAGATCGCGGCCAATCGCGATAATAGAGGACTGTTATTTCGTTATTTTACTTATAAAAAAACAGATTTTTTATTACTTATTCGAAAAAATTCACGATCGCAATATCCGTAATGATTACAATAATATCCGTTATATTTGTAACCGTGATAAACACGACACAAATGTAACCATAAATGTTATATAAAACCTTAATAAGTAGTATTAATCTCACATCAATCTTATCATTCATATTATAACGAAAATTTTAATCATTTGACAATAAATGATAATGTCGATAACTAGATTAGATGCTCGATCGATTATCTGATAGATGGTACTTTATAAATTGTTTTGAAGATCTCAAGATCCAACCTATAAGGAAGGCTCTCACAGATTTTTACAGTACCCAAATGGGTGAATTCCAATCATTTTCGTTTTGGAATTTCCCTAAGAAGGATGATTGTTGAAGCAAATAGAAAGAGTTGGAAAACAAAATTTGAGGCCAACAAAGAAAACCCATCATCATTCATGCCTTTACAACATATATTACAAGAATCTGTATACAATTTCAACCTACCCAGAATTCACCTCCATCAAAGCTACACTTCAGCCATACATAATTCCAGCCTTCGACGCGGTTACTCCTCCCAACACAGGAGCAACACGGTGCATCTCCATATGATGTAAAACCGGGTTCGCTGCTCCTTCACGAGCCTCGAGCATCTCCGCCATAGCCGGAGCTTCGGGATCCCTGTTGATTTCATGTTCAAGCAGAAGAACGACATTACACACCAAGGTAAACGAACAAAAAAAAACTGGGTTTATGGTGTTTTATATGGGTTCTGGAGATGGTTTGCTCTTGTGGGGAAATGGGATTATATATAGAGGGGGAGATGGATTTGGGGGGATGATGAATGGGTGATTGGTGAATGAGCGACAAGTGTTTGATGAAATGCGGGTTAACATAGGAGGCCCCCTTCAATCTCTGTTTGTCTGCCTGACAAATCAACCCTGGAGCATGCACTTATTTGTACTTCAACTTATCTCGATTTTGAATTGTCTAGCTCAGTTGGTAGACTCTTAATCTTGTGGTCGTGGGATCGAGTTTCACTGAGGGCAATTTATAACGGAGGTTTTCTACGGAAGTGGGATTGAGTCTCACTGAGAGCAATTCATAACGGATGTCTTCTACGGAAGCTGCTCTCAACCTGACGTAACCTGACGTTGGGGGTAGCCTACTATCCTACCTCCCTCTTACCCTATTATATATGAGAATAGGGTCAACTAATTTCGATTTTGGGTGAATCTAGTTTATATCTATTCGACTTTTTGAAATTTCCGGTTGGTTTGGATAAGATGAATTTTGATTTTATGTTATTCAAGCATTTGGATCATCTTCGTAGGTGGAGTTAGGTTTTTGATTTATTTGAATTTAATTTGAGTATAACATCTTTTTGTCTATTGTTCGATCCAATTTAGAATTATAAAATTTCTACTCAACCTAAACTAAACTTTTAAATAAAAATCTAAACTCAACTCAATCTAATCCGACACACTTACACATCCTATTTTTATTAGATAAAACACAGACCTTATTAAAAAAAAAGATAAATTAAGAGTTTAGTATTTAAATTATTAGTTTTGATATGTTTTAGTATTTAAACTTTTAATTTTTTCGAAAACATATATAATATTTAGTTTTTGTTTTATTCTAGTACCCGTTAAAAACTTAATGTTAAATTTTGAAAAAATGTGAATGTTTAGGTACTAAAACATGCTAAAACTGATAGTTTAAATGCTAAACACGTTAAGTTTTTAATAGTGAGGTATTAATGAAATAAAATTAAATGTTAGGTATGGTTTTAAAAAAATTAAAAGTTTAGGTACTAAAATAGATTAAAAATGATAATTTAGATATTAAACTTGTAGTTTACCCTTAAAAAATATAAGGTATTTTTCGCTTTATATATATAAAATGTCAATCATATTATTATGGCTTAATACCAAAATAAGTTCCTAAACTATACCTAAATTATCGAATATGTGTCTAAACTATTTTTTTGCTCATTCAGGTGCCTAAAGTTACAAACGTTACTCATTTAGGTGTCTGGTCGTCAAGGGCGTAAATTCCCTCGTTAAGTGACACATTTCTTAATCTGATGATTTTGAAAATTATTTTTTAAAATATTATTATCTTTATAAAAACCCTAATTTCTCTTAAATTATAAAAGAGCCCCAAAATACCTAAAATCATCAAATCCTATCCTTAACCCGCCATTGCCCCCTTTTAGGCCACGACCACCTCCGCCGACGTAGTCCCTGCCATCCTCCTAGTCATACTCTGTCGCAGTTGTCGTCGATTGGTCATCGAGATTGCGATTTTCATCCTAGAGTTCGCGGGGTATAAAACATCGATTCACCGTCAATCAATCACGATTTAATGGGGGGTTTTGGTTGTCGGGGGGAGATGAGGTCAGGTGTAGCTTTGTCGACCAATTTTAAAATACTAGATTGTGACAAATGTTACTTAATGAGGAAATTAACGTCGTTGCAGGCACCTAAATGAATAATATTTGTAACGATAAACACCTCAATAGATCAAAAAATAGTTTAAGCGCCTATTCGAAAATTTAGGTATAATTTAAATACTTATTTTAATATTAAACCTATTATTATTCACGAGTTTTGAGTAATTTTCATCGTAAACTCAAATCTGACTCAATTTATTCTTAAAAGATTCTAAACATGACGTGAGTCTAATTTTAGAAAAGGTCTAATTTAAAAAATTCATTTTATAGAGTGATTTTGATTCATGTTTGTGTTATTTTAGATTATACAAATAGCCTTTAATTATTAAAACCTAGTTGAATTAAAACTTAACTCAAAGTACGGACCAACTTATCTCAGTAGTTAAAATAATAGTTTTTCTTAGAAGTCACGAGTTTAAGCACCAATGGCTGTAGATGGGTGATTCTGAACGTTCATTGTCAAATGGTTAAGAGTATTTAGAACAAATATTACTTTGTAATCATCTTAGTTTAATAAAAAAATTAACTCAAAGTGACCTGGACTAATTTTTTATTCGGTTTAAAATTGATAGATTTGTTAACTACCATACGAGTAAATAGTTATATATATATATACACATGATATATTATAGGGTAAATTTCACATTTAATATTTAAATTATTAGTTTTGGTCATTTTTAGTACTTAAATTTTTAATTTTTTAAAATTATAACTAAAGTTTAGTTTGTGCTTCATTTTAGTACTCACCGTTAAAAAATTAACGCGTTTAGTAATTAAACTATCAGTTTTGTTCTATTTTAGTACCTAAACTTTCAAAAAAAATTCAAAAACTTAATGTTAAATTTTGAACGGAATATTAAAATGAAACAAAAACTAAACTTTAAGTATGGTTTTAAAAAAATATAAATTTAAATACTAAAATGAATCAAAACTAATAGTTTATGTACTATACGCGAAACTTACCCTATGTTATAGTGTTGAAGTATACCATACACACGCACGTTGGGAGTTCGGTACAAGGGAAATATATTATATTTAGTTAGAAAACAGAACTGTATCTTCCCCAAATGAAAAGTGTTTTGATCAAATATTGACATTTGAGATTAATTATTTAAATTACTGGTTTAATAGTTCCTGAAGCCCTCTAACTTTTAAAAAGAAATAATATGCCCCTTGGTTTTTTTTACTTTCAATTAAGCTCTTAAACCTTTGAAAATTAATCATTATAGCCTTTAATCGATAAAAATCATTATTGATTATTACGATATTGATATGTTCGTCTACATATAATAATGACATGACATATGAACATCTGATCACGTGCCCTAAACTTGATATAATTGTCTTATAACATCTGATCGATCGAAACTCGATAAGTTCAGATTATTTGGTCATCCCTATTCTTACCCTAGGGTTCCATTGACACCAGGGGTCCACCTTCTAATTTCTACCATGGAACACATCAGTATCACGTGCGCAGTTGCCTCGTTCTTCACTGATTCAACTTGAACAGTACACCCTTTATCAAGCTACAATCTTGCCGGCCATTGATGGATGATTTGCCAAGCTTTTGAAACCAGTTCCATTTAAAGCATATCAAACACCAAACTTTATCTTGCATAGTTTACCTAAACCCCACTTTTCTTTAGCCTTTTTCGCGACACCATTTTCCACCCCACTTCTTCCAGGCTCAAAAGGACTAGGACAAGACTTGTAGGGGACCCCATTGACCCCCCCCACCAAAAAAAACCCAAGTCTAAGGTTAAACAACCCCCAAATGTGGCTAATAACATCTGCTAATAGCATATATTATGATTTTGAGTATATGAACGTAGCTCTTTCTTGGACCACACTAAGGGTATGGAGGAGTTGGTGGTCTTCAAGTGTGGGATTATGGTTTGTAGGAA